TTCTTGAGTACAGAAGTACAGTTGTATTATTCACTCCAATTAATAAATAAAAATCTTGGGAACAACTTTCAAAAATAAAATCATAATAGCAGTTCAAAATCATTGTGAAATTTCCGTTTAATTGTTATCGAAAGTTTGTAGAGATTTATCATAAATTTTACAATATCTTTCTAGTGCTATTGCCTCTTCAGCTCCAATTCTTCAATTCCAGAATATCACGCCTTGTGAGGTATGGAAATTAACAATTAAAACCTCCTTGTGAGGTATAATCGCTTAATAAGCTGCATTTCCGCTTGCAAGAAAATTTTGCTGTTGAAATATTTCGCTCAATTTCTTTTGAATTGTGAGCAGTTAAGTAGAACTGATTTATTCGGATGCTCACAATTCGAAAGAAATCAACCGAAATATTCCGACGACGAAATATCTCTGTGTTAAAGTGGAAATCCTCACTTATTCAATTATTGTATAAAACATTTTTGGAAGAAAAGCCTCAGAAATCAGAACTTATGTGTATCAGGAGTCTTTACCCTCGGTTGGGTTGTTCGTTGTCAGCAGGATATTAAAGTCAAGAAACGGTTTAGTACTAAAGGCTGTGGCGGCCATGGTTCAAGGCAAACGCATTTACAAAAGTTTGTCGTAAGCCTGGTTTCCATATGGTCGTATAACTGTCGTGAACGTGTCGTGAAGTGTTTGTCGTGAATGATTTTTATGCGTGTTTCATATGGTTGTAACTGTCGTGCACTGACGTAAGTTAATTTCGTACCCAGGGATCGTACAAGCAGCTGGCGGCAGCAGTTTTAGAAAAGACAAACACGGTCCCCCTAAAGGGGACCTTTGCCCCCCCCCCTAATTGTCGCAAAACTGTTGCAACGCTGTCGTTCTTCCGTTTCCATCAGGGCGCTTATATATATAAGCGCCCTGGTTTCCATTAAAACATAACCGTCACGACACGTTTTTAGCCTGACGCAACTGTCGTCGAGATAGAACTCGAGTCTATCTCGACGACACTGTTGTAACTGTCGTGAACTGTTGCCAGCGTGTTGCGACAAGACTTTCTTCATGTTTCCATTTGGTCACGAACACGACAGTTACAACACGTTCGCGACAGCTACAACCATATGGAAACCATGCAGACTTTAAGTTTGTGTGAAAAGACTTTTGGATTAAAGTGCATGCATAATTGGTACTTGATTTTCGCTGACGTAGGTTGTGTGCGAGTGCCTTCTAGTACTTCGTAATGTTTTTTTATTTCCAGCATTCGAATTGATCCTGTTTGTTATAAGTCTTAGTCCAAGTATTGAACAATAATTTACAGAGAAAGTTCGTCATTTTTAGACATTTTACAAAATTGTTTCGGATGATTTCGCAAGAGAGGGAGAAACGTGTTTCAATCTGATAAAAAAATCCTGGAATGTTATTTTTGATGATGGCGAATCAAGTAAGCTGTTTAGTTTCTCAAACTATAGTAGCTGTAATATCTAAGTACTAGGTATATATTTGTGCAATAGAATATATTTTAGCATAACATAACGATATAGTACTGATTGATGTCTTAGTGTGTTCCTTCTACACAACGTGTCCTATGTCTATATATTTAATTACAATCTCGTTCCCCGAGCCTGCGATCCTCGGGAAGGAACGCGAGGCTCTGGGATAATCCGTTTCAGGGAGGAATCTGATTGGCCGTTGAAATGGAATGCGTAGTTCAATCTTAGCCAGGATTCCTGGCTTCCGGCAACGGATTAATTTATCACAAAGCCTCGCGTTCCTTCCCGAGGATCGCAGGCTCGGAGAACGAGATTGATTTAATTAGTTCCGACCATATAGTCCTGGTGCCGAGTGAATGACCTGACGTCATTACTATATCACTCCCTTTTTTTTATCTAATTACCGACGAGGGAATTCCCTCGCCATATGGTTCTGGTTGCCTAACATTCCTTGTCGATCGTCCTGGCTCAGGGTTAGTGTCAATTCTGTCTCGTTCGGTCCTTTCCGCGTCATACGTTTCACTGTCATCGTCGTCATCGACTTGAACATCACTCTTTGGCTTCGCTTGAAGTGTGATACATTGCGAGTTATAGTGTGCCCTGTCTGACTACGTGCTGTCACCGTGTTGTTGTTTCGCGAGATCACAATGTGGGGTGTTTCATTGAAGTTAGGGGTGAGTTTGTTCCCTCTCTTTTGCTTCCACAAAACGTAGTCGCCAACTTTTATTGGGCTTTCTTTAACGTTTCTCTTTTCATCAGCGTAACGTTTGTTGTATTGTTGTCTTTCATCTTCCTTTTTCCGAACCTCGACGATTTTTTCCTTGAACTTGGTGATTAAATAACTGTTCAGAGGGTGGAACACCAGTGGTACAATGCGGTGTGGTGCGGTGGTGCAACAGGAAACGACTTAGCTCTTGTTTCCATGGACGACCGTTTAGCAGCTTTCTGGGATTTTCCCAAGGGTTGCATGACGCGTTCTACCTCACCGTTGCTTTGGGGCCATTTGGGAGTAGAGAAGATTGCCTTTATTCCAATGGCGGTTAGATAGCGTTGGTATTCTTCGCCATTGAAAGGGGGACCATTGTCGCTTTTGAGAAGGGTAGGAATGCCATGAACGGCAAAGATCTTGTCGAGTTTTGGTATCACAGTAGAGGCTCGCGTGGAGTGGACAATTTCGACGTCGTGAAACCGAGAATATCTATCTACAACGACAAGAAGGTATTCTCCAGTGGGTAGAGGACCATAGAAGTCGACATGAACAGTTTGCCAAGGTCCATCAGGCATGGTGGTGGGGGTGATTGGCGCTGGTGGGCCGGGTGGGCCAAGGGCTTGGCAAGGAAACCTCTCAACAACATCTCTAAACCTTTACCGCAAAATCCTAATAAAGATCTTAAACTCAATGACATTCTCGAGAGAAATGCCCAAGTTTTCGACGGATTGGTAAAACTGAAAGGACAGACTGTCCACCTAAACATTGATCCCGATGCTAATCCTAAAGCTGAACCAGCGCCGCATCCCTTACCAAATTCGAAACAAAGTTAAAGATGCAATCATAACGACAACAAATGTCGTATCTGTTGTTTGTACGTAAACAAGTCACGTGCGTGGACAGGGTCTTATGTGTGCGTGTAGCTGTGGCAATTTCGTCGAGTGGCATGTAATGGCGCGGGGGGGCAATGTGTCGTTCAATGAAGTTGACGTATTCTTCAGCCATGCGATCCGGGTATGACATGCGTGGTGACGCAGGATGACGTGATAAATAATCAGCGGGGTTGGTGGCACCAGGAAACCTTTGTTGTTGTCGACGCGAGCCCTGTCGGCGTATCGGCTATCCTCTCACAAAAATGCCAAATGTCGCGAATTCCAAAGTCATTGCTTACGCCAGTCGTGCCTTATCGCTCGTCGAAACACGTTACTCCCAAACCGAACGAGAAACCCTCGCTATCGTCTGGGCTGTCGAACATTTCCACATGTTCCTGTTTGGACATCATTGTAATATCTTCCCGTCGCCGGATTGTCGGGGAGCCTCGGTCAAACGAGGACGAGAGTTGATGAGAGTTCTCTCGCTCGCGTTTGACCGCCAACTCTTATATGGGGCTTCGGTGGCCAAGTGGTTAGCGCACTTGCCTTTCACCTCTGAGGCCGCAGGTTCGAGACTCAGTGAGTACTTTCTCAATGCGACTCGAACCCAGGCCTCATGTAAAAAGAGCAAAGTCAAAGCTCTGCCGAAAGTCGTGGGTTTTCTCCGGGTACTCCAGTTTCCTCCCACAGGGAAAGTTGACATAGAAAGTTGACATAGAAAGTTGACATAGAAAGTTGACATAGAAAGTTGACATAGAAAGTTGACATAGAAAGTTGACATAGAAAGTTGACATAGAAAGTTGACATAACTTGACATAGAAAGTTGACATAGAAAGTTGACATAGAAAGTTGACATAGAAAGTTGACATAGAAAGTTGACATAGAAAGTTGACATAGAAAGTTGACATAGAAAGTTGACATAGAAAGTTGACATAGAAAGTTGACATAGAAAGTTGACATAGAAAGTTGACATAGAAAGTTGACATAGAAAGTTGACATAGAAAGTTGACAAAGAAAGTTGACATAGAAAGTTGACATAGAAAGTTGACATAGAAAGTTGACATAGAAAGTTGACATAGAAAGTTGACATAGGTCAACTTGACATAGAACGTTGACATAGGGTTAGGGACATAGGTCAGGTGGCAGATCATTATATGGACTAATAGCGGCTGCTTAAACGGCGCCATTTGTAAGCTCACAGTCTACCTCGGTCTGCTCTAATGTAACCAGTCACTGAAAAACCCTGATAAGGGAGTATGCTGAGTAATATATGTAATATGTAACTCTCATCACCTCGCATCAACTCTGAGCTGGTTCAAATTTTGATGAAAGTTGGTGGGAGTTTTTGCTACGCGCGGTAATATCCAGTCATCTCTCATCAACTCTTGTTCTCGTTTGACCGGGACAAGAGATTGAGAAAACTCTGATGCAAACTCTCGCTTGCCAACTCTCATCAACTCTTATTGTCGTTTGACCAGGAACTTCGTTCAAAGTGTATACCGACGTTGTTCGACGTTTCAAGCGAAGACTCTTCGTTGGGAAGTTCGTACGAAAGTTAGTATCTTCCTGACGGAGGGCCTTCGCTCGAAATCTCCAAGTTCTCTAGTATGTATTTTTCAGGTGGTCGTATCTTGCTCAATCTGAAGCTTTCTTGCCCTGCATGTTGTCTGTTTTGTAGTTTCTTACTAAATGGTTGTTATTAATTCAGGACCTCGCTGAACAACACGTACTATGAGATATGGGTATCACATCAACTGATATCTAGTGCTAATAGATTTTTTCTCCTTTTCAAGGTTCCGGTAGAGAAAAGCTGACCGACATTTTTCACTTATGTAAGCCACTGAAAAACCAGAGTGATGTGTATAAATTTCGTGATTGGTTGAGCTCGACCTGGGTGAACTTGGCTATGGGTAAAATACAAATATTTTATTTGCTTAGGAAAAGATTGTAACTACAGTAGACCGGGTTACGATCAAATCACCCTCACTCAAATTCATCCATAAATTTATATGATGAATATCAGACGGGGCGCCCAAAAATCTGCAATCAGGGTGAGTGTTCCACCTGTACACATTGACATCTTGTGCATCAGGGACCAGTTATACGAAGGCCATGCAGATATTTTCTCAAGCTTTCAAAATTGTCTGTTTATTATTATAGCTCAGATTAAACTTTATTAATTATAAATGAATGTTTTTATTAATTGTGAGGTTCACGTCTATTAAATAGTTCTAGCTTTTCAAGCAACTTTACAACCGTTGTAGATGCACTATCCGGTGGATACAACCGACCCGTGAGCAACTTTCAGAAGATTTCAAAACCTCTGAGAAGACAAGTGATGATTATAATATGACTGAAAGTTTTGCGTCGAAACGTGTTCGAAACGATCTTTACAAAAATTTTGCTCTTTTTTAAAATTTGATCGTTTTGTATATTCCGGTCAACTGGAAGCTTTGTTTCACACCAAAAATGTTCAGGAATAATATTTCCAACTGTCGCTATACTATTTACCAGATTTTTAATATTCTCTTCTTATTCTTCTTAGTAAACTATCCATACCCAGCTTCTTTCTTGGAACCACTTCCAGCTTGGCCAATCAAGGTATATCTCAAACTCATTAATAATTCTCATAAATTATTCAACCATAATGCTTTATTTTGTTCACGTGATAATACTGGATACCTGATGAAGTACATTGATCCAGTCCTAGGACTGGACAAAATAAATTCAGTCCTTGGACTGGATCAAAATTAATTACACCTGTTTTCAAAATTACGCGACCAAGGACGAAAATGCTATAGAGTTGACATGTCAGTTTTATGTCATTCGGTCACGAAGTTTAAACTTTGAGTTTTGCGGTTCCTTGTCGATGTATATGCTTTGTATGCTTTATATAAACAGGCTTACAATGATTTTCAAGATATTTTAGTGGGAATTATTGCAAAATTTAAGCACAAACAAAATCATAACATCGCCGTTATAGTCTAGCGCGCGTGTTTTATACTGACAGCTAAATTCCAGGATAAAGTGTTATTTTTCACACTTTAAAAGTTATTCACGGCACATATTTCTGTTGTGATGGTTTAATGTATTGTGCTTTAGTTTGTATATCTAAGTTATCTAACTCATTTTTGTTCAGTTTTGGTATTAAATACGGTTTAAAATGTCTTTTGACAGTTTGTTTACGTTTGCTATTTTTAGCAGTTTTTGTGACATAAAACTGACATTTGAAGTAAGAGTATTTTTCAGGGAGGTCGCGTAATTTTGAAAACGGGTGTAAGCAGTGATTTATTCGCATGAGATATCATTTCAAATCCTCCAATTCGGACTGGACTACATTTCAAGTCCTCGCATTTTGATCCAGTCCTCGGTTTCGCCTGGAACTTGATCAAATTGCATGGACTTGATATCTAGTCCAGTCCTCATGGTCGGATTTGAAATATTACACCACTGCATTAATTGTAATAACACTACAATTTTGAAATTTTGTGGTATTATATATACTTTATCCACAACTCACAGTTAATTCATCACCTTTGTAGTGGTTGTGAACAATCTTGTTTTTAAAATCCAAGACTGCAATTGTGATCATGAGCTAGCTACACAAGTATATTAGATCATGAGCTAGCTACACAAGTATATTAGATCATGAGCTAGCTACACAAGTATATTAGATCATGAGCTAGCTACACAAGTATATTAGATCATGAGCTAGCTACACAAGTATATTAGACCATGAGCTAGCTACACAAGTACATTTATTTAGATCATGAGC